ACAATGGAGACACCAGGGAGGTGGTGGCACAGCAGGGACAGCAGCATGGGAGCAGTGGGAAGGTGGTGGGCAGCACAAAAGATGCTTGCAAGGTCCCACTTCCCCATCTGGGCCTGCATCCTGGGGTTAAACGGGCAAAATTCCCAGGGTAATTCCTCCTTGCTGGGGTTTTCCCTTGGGAAGGAATGGGGCTGGGTTTGCAGCATTTTCTGCCTTAGTGCAGTAAATGAATATCTGGGGAAAGTCCACAGGGTTTGGGTTACAAGAGCTAAGCTAGAGGGTGAGAGATGCCAAGGTTTCTCATTGTTCTTCACTATGATTGTAATCAAATGTCTGCTTCCACAGACAAAACCCCCATTTTCCCTCTCTTCCTCCTTTTCTTTGGAGTATCAGTTTTGCTCTTCTTCAGCAAATGCCTCTTTTACAGGAGGTTTTCCCCTCTGGTTGCTCATGGATACAGTATCACCCTTTTGCCACAGCAACCCTGGTAAAAGAAAATAATTTTTTAAGGAAAACTTTGATACATGTAATTTTTTATATATCAGATGTAACTGGTAGGAACAAATGTTTTAATTTTATTTTTTTTTTTCAATATGCTGGCAGGAGTTGGGAGGGTTTTTTTAATGATGGAGTAGCTCACTCACTCTCCTGAGGCTTAGGGAAGTGTTTGACTTCAAACTCAGAAGCACAGAATCTCCTGGGCTAGAAGGGACAAGGATCATCAAGTGCAATTCCTGACCCTGCACAGGACACCCCAATAATCCCTCCATGTGCTTGATCCCACTGCTTGCCTGTGAAGGGGAAGGCTTGCTTGATCATTCTATCATTTTAAAAGCCCATTCTACCATCTGCAAATAGGATCAGCTGCAAACATTTCAAAAGCCTCTATTTTTATTTAGCTCTAATTTTTCCTTCCTGCAGACGTGTCCAGGCTGCTGTACCAAAATAGGGTGTGTGTGAAACGCTTGACTGGAAAAAAATGAATCATATTCCTGGTGCTGTGAGCTTGCCCTGTAAATAAAAAGGCAGCTGGGGGAGTCCTGACCCTGCCCTGGCTGTTGGGTCAGGGTTTCCCTGGAGCTCTGAGTGCTGCCAGCTGGATGCTGGTGCTGGTGCTGAGTGAGCACGGGGCTGCTCAACCTCAGTGTGATTTCAGGAGTGAGAAATGAAATCCCTCTCCAGAGCAGGATGCTGCTGCAGCCTGCCATGAGTGCAGCTCCTGGACAGCTTCCAGAGCCGTGTCTGTGCCAGCTGCAGCAGGCAGGGGTGAACTGAGGGCACCACAAGGACATGGGCTTGGATCTGATGGGCCACCTTGGCTTTCTGGTGCCTCATCTCCTTCTGCAGCATCACAGAGCTCTGCCTGCTCTGGGTGGCTGAGCAAGGGTGTTGTGCACTCAGGAGACCTCTCAAATGTCCTGCTCAGCTCCCATCTGTCCTTCATTTCCACCTCTCAGCTCTGGAAGGTGACACTTGCAGGTGGTTCTTGCCTTGCTCCCACTCGTGACGCAGCCATGGAGGTGCTGGTTGAAGGACTGGGGATGTGGAGGCAGGAGGAGGTGCTGCCCTAAGGACCAGAGTTTATACTTGAAATCCTACTGGGAGATGGCAAAATGTTCATGCAATTTGTTGGGACAACCCTAAAGCCAAAAGGGCAACAGAGCTGGGGAGGGGTTCTGATGAGGAGCAGCTCAGGGAGCTGGGGAAGGGGCTGGAGCCCCAGGAGGGGCTGAGGGAGCTGGGAAGGGGCTGAGCCTGGAGCAAAGGAGGCTCAGGGGGGCCCTTGTGGCTCTGCACAACTCCTGACAGGATGGGGAAGAGCCTGCAGGGCTCAGGCTGTGCTCCCAGACAACAGGCACAAGATGAGAGAAAACAGCCCCAAGTTGTACCAGGGGAGGTTTAGATTGGATATTAGGAAACTTTTTTTGTAGAACACTGGAATGGGCTGCTCAGGGGAGTGGTGAAATCACCATCCCTGGAAGTGTTCAAACAACATGTGGATGTGGCCCTTGAGGACATGGTTTAGTGGTGAACACTGTGGTGGTGCTGGGTTAATTGTTGGACTTGATGATCTTAAAGGTCTTTCCCAGCCTTAACACCTCCATAAGTCTGTGATTATAAATATCTCTTGTCTGGTGCATTTTCTATTAAATGTGCAGTGGTTCTGCTCCCAACAAGCATCAGCGATGTCTGGGAGAGGCCCCACAGACCTCGTGCTTTTAACTGTCAGATGAGAGGAGAAGATGCTCCCTGATAAGATCTCCTTGAGTAGTCACACATCATTTGTGTGGGCAAGCACAGCTCCTCCTTTCCAGGGCCAATTACCTCAGGAGGAGCTGAGGTCACTCTTTGGGATGCCATGAATTGAGCAATGGTGGCTCTCAGAGCAGAGGACTCTGGTGGTTCCTGATTTCCAGCAAGATTCTCCTCTCTCAGAGGAGAATCCTCCTGCCTCTGGCTGCAGGCTGCTTTCACACAGCAGGGCAGCATCTGGGGAAAGCTTCTTCCCTTGGCAAACTAAGCCAAGACACCCTTGACAGGCAGCTCAGTCAAGCCTGATCCTAAAGATCTTGGTGTCTCCCTGTTTGCCAACCTTATGGAAGGTTTCAGTAGGAGGGAGACCAAAACCAGGGTTTGGTTTCTTGGTCTGCTGCAGCCTCAGCCCAAGGTTTGGAGCGATGTGTTTGTTTTTTTCTCATTTCCTGGATGAGGTAAGGCAGGGTGGGCTGAGCACTGAGCTCATCCAGACAGGGCCAAAGAGCAATTTTCCAAGGAATGGGGAGAGTGTGGCAGTGTCATCTTTAACCATCTGTCTGGCAGGGGATGCACAACCCTTCTTTGGAGATGCTGCTGCTGGGACATTTATTGCCTTGTTTGGGGCTGAATTATAAATCAGAAGTTCCTCTCCCAAACCTCATTTCCAGACTATTCCAAGACATGCTTACCAGTGTGCTAAACTGTCCCTGCTTTAGGGCCCAACATCCAGGTGTTGATGTTGTGGTGATGATTGGATTATCTATTTAAATATGTTTGATTTGCAGTGACAGGGTTAAAACCCTGAGAATCAAATCAGCAGGACAGCCCAGCATCTGATTAAACCTCCTCCACTGCTTCTCTCTGCCTCCCAACCATCTTGCAGGATGTGCTGTTCCTAGACAAAATCTCTCCAGGATTTGCTGTCAGGCCATTAATGATCAGTTTTCCTGGTGCCTTCTCTCCTTTCCACCACACTTCAGCTCTGGCTTCCCAAGCCATTCCTAGCTGGTGGATGATGAGGTGGGGAGTTGGTCTTTCCCATTCCCAGCTAAGCAAGCTCCCAGCCCAGCCATCCAGTTGCTCAGGGTTGGGAAGAGTTTCCTGGGAAGTTTATGAAGAGAGAGCAGAAAAACCTGAGGGATTTGGTACCATCTGGAGCTCCCAGCAGGTGGGAGAGGTGTGACAGTGCTGCTGAATTGCAGAAATGCCCTCAGTGCTGCTTTCCCAAGCTCCCAAAGGTGCCAGTGTGCAAAATAACAGCTCTGAGATGCTCACCCAGCACAGATTTATGGCACAGCACCCTGTACTTAGAACAATCTCCTTACATCAGCCATGTAGGAATGTGCCAGATCCTGCATCCTCCCGAGGCACGGACATTATCGTGGCTCATCTCCTGCGGGACACAGCCTGAACTCCTGGGCATGGGAGAAAATTAATCCATGGTGCTGCTGTCTCACCTTTGAGAGCTCAAAATATTCAAACTTTTGACAACCCCCCACAAAAAAAGCCCACAAAAAGCAACAAAACAGAACAAACCACAGAAACCAAGTCTTGAGCTAATGATCTTTTATTCTCTGAGTCACAGGATGTGGAGCATTCACTCACCTTTTCAGGGGCAGGTCTAGAGATGTTTTGGGTTTTTTATAGGAGCACAGACTGGTTTGTGTTGAAGGGACCTTAAAGACATCCAGTTCCACCCCCTGCCATGTCAGGGACAACTTCCACCATTCCAGGCTGCTCCAAGTGCTGTCCAGCCTGGCCTTGGGCACTGCCAGGGATCCAGGGGCAGCCCCAGCTGCTCTGGGCACCACTCTCCAACCTGACAGGGAAGGATTTCTTCTGTATAACTAACCTCAACTTCAGTCTGAACCTATTCCCCTTGTCCTGTCACTCTGATGAACAGTCCCCTTCCAGCTTCCCCATAGGCTCCCTCAGATACTGGAAAGTTCTGTGAAACCTCCATGCAAACTTCTCTTCTCTCTCTGGATGTGTATCCAGGATATATTCATATCCTTGTCCCCTCCTTGTCCTTTCCCTTGTGTGCCTCAGTTGGGAACATCATCCTCACAATGAACAAGGTCTTGTGGATATTTCATGTGCAACATTCCTTGTGGAGGTGCTGTTGCTGGAGCTGCAGGGCACAGCCAGGCTGTTTCACCTGCAACTCTGTGGATACTCTGGGGTCAGCAAGGTTAGGAAGCACCAGAATTAGGAAGTACCAAAATTCAGGCCTCTGGCTCAGCACTGTGCTTGGACACATCAGAGGTTGTTTCCTCTGCCTCCCATCCCATGTCTGCCCAGCTCAGGGCTGCTCCTGCCCCAGCTGCAGTTCTTGTGTTACACAGCCAGTAAATTAGCACCTGAAATCACTCTTGTTTTGCAAGCCTGATTAAAATAATAGCTGAGGCTGTCTGTGTTTGAAACTGTCGAGAAGGCAGGGAGGGTGTCTCTGCCCAGGCTCTGTGTCCTGCATGCCTGGAGAGGGATCAGTCACCTGGCAGAGTCACCTTCTCCCTGCTGGCACCCAGGCATCACCACCAGAAACACCATGGGCAGAGGCAGAGAGCCTCCAAAAAATGAGTCTGTGCTGCTGAGACAGAAATCCAACTCACACACCATGTGAACCACCACCCTCATGAATGAATTTGCATTTCTCTCCCATCTGTTTGTCCCAGCAGAAACTTCCTTTCACCCTGAGAGCAGCCAAGGTAACAGAAGTGCTTTGTTCTGCTCTGTTTTCTCAGGGATCCACCAACGTGGTTTACCAAGCCCACCATGTCAGCAGGAGTAAGAGAGGACAAGTGGTCGGCACCAGGGGAGGATTCCGAGGCTGCACCGTTTGGCTCACAGGTATTTTTGCCAGGCTGTCAAATGAAAGCCTGGCCTCACCTGTGAAACTCCATGAGTGTGGAACTCCATGAGTGTGGCTGCCAGGTGGGGATTTGGGATCTGCAGGAAACGTCAGCGCTCCCTGCGAGCCGGGAATTGCAAAACATCCCCACGTGGGAAACGCAGACACGCGGTGCTGGCGCAGCAAGATGTTCTCCCTGGCAGCTGCTGCCCAGAACTAATGTTTTGATGGATTTCCCAGCTGCTCTCAGGCTCCTTTGAACATGTCAGAGGCCCTCGGGGTAGCACTTGTTGTTCCCAAGTGTGTAGCTGAGGAAGCCTTGGCTCCAATCCAGCCAGTCTTTGGCAGTGGGACGTACCCAGAGTTGTCCGAAACGCGGATGTTTTCATTCAGGAGCGGTGGGAAGTTCATTGGGACATGTAGGTCTGCTGGTTTGAGGCAGCACGAGGCAGTCACCTTGTCTGGAGAATAAACACTCCCAGCCACAGAGCCATGCTGGAAGCAATCCCTTACATTGTTTTGTTGCCCTTCTCTTCTGCCTTGAAGTGTAAACTCATTGTTTGGGGATTAGGGGCTGCTAGAAAGGACAACTGCATTTTGCATTTCTAATATTTAGACAAGTCTGTCTTTTGCTAGTTGTCCAGTTGTTCCTTTGCTTGTTAAATATTGGCATTTTCTTTGGCTGCTGGAGGATTGTTGAAGGATGTGCTTGGAAGGATTTGTAAAGCCATTCTGATTTACCTTCCTGTCACCTTAGTTTGTAGATGCTGGATTAAAGCACGTTTCTGTTCTGTTCTCCTCCTCAATTTTGAAGTGCTCAATCTGCTTTTCTGAAGCCAAAAGCCCAACCCCAGGCAATTTCCTTCCTTTTTTGAGTATTACTCAAAAATCTTGTGTCTGAAAGGTTTGAGCTATCTGGCTGATGATTATTCTTTGAAATACACTCCTAGAGAAGGAGGTGATGGGGGCCCTTTGCTGCTGGAACCTGTCCCACTCCACATGGTTGCAGCAAGAGCCTCTCCTTGGGTTCAGAATGGGAGAGCAGCTGGCTCTTGACAGTGGGAGCAAGGGGAGGAGGAGGAAGATGAGGAGAGACCTGGAGGAAGCAGCATCCTTTCAAACCTCCCCTGCTTCCTGGAGCCCAGCACAGCCCAGCAAGACACACTGCTGAGTTAGACCCCTCCAGAGCTTGGGCTGTAGATGCTTTTCTCAGGGCATTAATGCCACCCCTCCAATAATGAGGGTTGAAAAGGTGAAGGGTCACCTGTGAAGGTTCATCCTTCATCTGTGAAGGGCGAATCCAACTTCCTTTAGGAAGGAATGAGGTAGAGAGCTTCAGACAGAAGGAGTTTGGCCTCCAGTGTCACTTGTATTCACTCTCTTGACCTCAAACCTGACCCCTCACTCTTCTGCCTCCCCCAGGCCTTTCTGGAGCTGGCAAGACAACCATTGGCTTTGCTCTGGAGGAGTACTTGGTGGCTCATGGCATCCCCTGCTACTCCCTGGATGGTGACAACGTCCGGCATGGCCTGAACAAGAACCTGGGCTTCTCGGCCCAGGACCGCGAGGAGAACATCCGGCGCATCGCCGAGGTGGCGCGGCTCTTCGCCGACGCGGGGCTCGTCTGCATCACCAGCTTCATCTCCCCCTTCACCAAGGTAAGGGTGTGAAGGTCCTGCTCTCTTCTCAGCTTCACCTCAGATGATGAGGATGGTTTATGGACAGGGTTTCCCAAATGCACAAACTCTCGGTAGAACGCCGCTGATACGCAACCGCACGCAGTCACTGTTTGGAGGGCAGCGGCCTCGCTGGATAAATTCAGTGCTGCACATTGATGAAAAGCTAAGAGGAGTTTAAGATTTCCCTACTATTAACTCCTCAGAGGTGGAAAAGAGTCACAGAAGCAGCACAGAGGTAAATGCACAAATGCTTGGTAGAGCGCCGCTGATGCGCACCCGCGCGCAGTCACTGTTTGGAGGGCAGTGGCCTCGCTGGATAAATTCAGTGCTGCACATTGATGAAAAGCTAAGAGGAGTTTAAGATCTCCTTGCTATTAACTCCTCAGAAAAGAGTCACAGAAGCAGCAGCCTGTCCTAGACCTCTCACTGGTTTTTTGGAAGATTTGACTGCGATTTTCACTTCCGTAGCTGCTGTTATCAGGGTGATGCAAGCAGTTCCTTTTTTGGTAGAATCAAGGAATCACTGAGGCTGGAAAAGACCTCTGAGATCATCGGGTCTGACCGTTTTCACGTAGGGCAGATAATTATTCACAATCTAAAATTCTGCTGTCCTGTCTAATGAAAAAGTGTTGAGGTTTTACATGGGAAAAGATGAAAACAGATCAAAGTTGTAGATTTTAACAAATTTTTTTTAAAGTATCTTTAAAGAAAAGGAGGGAAGTGAGATGAAAACCCTTATTAGAACTAGTGTACATTGAATAAATCTATAAGAAAGATTAATTTACTTGTGTCAAAATCCAGGGAGGTTTTTTTGCTGCAATTCAGATTTTTCCCATCTTTCTTCTAACAGGATCGTCGAAATGCACGAAAAATTCACGAGGCAGCTGGACTTCCTTTCTTTGAAATCTTTGTAGATGCTCCTCTAAATATTTGTGAAAGCAGAGATGTGAAGGGCCTGTACAAAAAAGCAAGAGCTGGAGAGATCAAAGGTATGGAGGAGTGAGATCTTATTTTGCCTTTTGCTTTCCAAAGCTTTGGATGCCTTGTCCTGGCAGTGCCACAATAGGGGTGGGTGTCTAAAGGCCTTTTGTAGTGCACAAGAGGATCCTAATTCCCCTAATCTTACTGTCACAAGTGCCACTTGTTGTACCCAGCATGGTTGAATGCTCCCTGGTTGTTTGTACAGTGTTCTTGGCTCTAAGGCACTGATTATTCTATTAAACAAATTTAATTTGGGGGTTAATTGTCCGTAGGATTCACGGGCATTGACTCAGAGTACGAGAAGCCCGAAGCTCCCGAGCTGGTGCTGAAAACAAACGATGCATCGGTATCTGAGTGCATCCAGCAGGTCGTGGAGCTCCTGCAGGCACAGGTGGGTCACTTTTGTGTCACCATCACTGGCAGCCTTGGAACCCTGCTTTGGGACACTGCCTTTTTGGTGTTCCCCTTCAAAACAGTGTGTTACAAGTGCTGCCTGTCCCTGTCTTTCAGAACATCGTGCCCCAGGGCTCAGTCAAGGATGTTCTGGAGCTCTTTGTGCCTGAGGATAAACTCAGCAGTGTCCAGGCTGAGGCAGAGAAGCTGCCAGCACTGGAGATCACTAAGGTATTGTCACACACAGCTTCTGACACTATTTAGCTGCTCCAAGGATGGAAGCTTCCAGGAGGATGTTGCCAAAGGGGCCTGTGTTCTTCTGATGGCCCTGACCTTCTGTGGCTGTGGTTTATGGTGAGCTGAGGTGGGATCCTGGTCCTCAGCCATTTTCTGCCATGTGTGCTGCAGGGTGTCAGTCTCCTCTGCTGTGTTATACAGCCCCACAAGGGCAAGCTGCCAGAGGGCAGGGTTTGGTGGGATATTGGCAGGCCCTGGCACAGAGGCTGTGGCTGCCTCTGGATCCCTGGCAGTGCCCAAGGCTAGGCTGGATGGGGCTTGGAGCAGCCTGGGACAGTGGAAGGTGTCCCTCCCCATGGCAGGGGTGGGATTGGATGGGCTTTAAGGTCCCTTCCAACCCAAACTAGTCTGGGATTCTAAGTTGTGCTGTGAAAGTGTGAGAGTCTGGCTTTAAAAGCCTCAAGCTACAATCCCCTGTGTCTTTCTCCCCCTTATGAATGTCCTGTATTTGAAGCAAAACAAAATGAAAATGCTGTTTCAGCAGAAAGGAAGGAAAAGCAACCTCTGAGTGTGACAGGAGTGTGACCCCTTTGGGTTTGTTTTGCAGCTGGATCTGCAGTGGGTGCAGGTGCTGAGCGAAGGCTGGGCCACTCCTCTGACAGGATTCATGAGGGAGGCTGAGTACCTGCAAGTGCTGCACTTTGGCACCCTGCTCAACGGTATGGATCCCCTGTGTCCTCCTGTCCTGCCTTGTGGCACACTCCTGAAGGTGGCCAAGGTCACCCTGCTGTGGCCACAGCCCTGGCTCACAGCTCTGACATCTCTCATGGTGCTGCTCAAACCTTCCAGGAGTTGTTGTGTGGCTCTTGCTGAGCTTGGCTGTACCGGGGTGTAAATAGAGATGCAAACCCAAGGCCAAGGAAGCAGGGAGGCTGCCAGGCTCAGCTGGAGGTGGGAGGAAAAGGCAGCTGCTTCTTGGAAACAGGAGCAGAGCCTGCTTTTGCCCCTCACCCCATTTCCCTGCTTCTCCAGCATGTTAGCTTGAAGTAAATCTGATTTATCTATGCATTAGCAGCCTGCTAGAGGTGCTTCATCCCTGGAAGAGGCAAAGAGGGCTCAGGTGATGCCTATCCACAGCTGGGACTGGGGCACAGATGTTTCCACCCCGTTTCTCAGCTGTGGATGCTCTTGCTGTGACTTCACCTGCACATGGAGTGCTCATGTTGGGGTTTGTAGATGCTGGCAGTGATCTCTGCAAGGGTGATCAAGTCCCTTTGAGCCTTACATGTCTCCTAGACAATCCTGTGGTCGCACGGGGCAGAGATTTGCTGCTGTTGCTGAGATTCGGGCACAGAGGCAAAGCTCAGGACTGCTCACTTTGCACTGTGGGAGTGTCTGTGTGTGGGGGCCCTGCTCCCAGACACACCATAGCCTTTCACCTCCTGCCCAGTGTGCAAACAGCATTCAGAAGCACATGTCCCTGTTATCAGAGCCTCCTCTGTGGTCTTTGAGCTGCCTCTTGTGCCTGGGGAGGTCGCAGAGTGCCCTGGGATGGCCACGTTGCTCCACAGCCCCGTACTTTGTGCTGAGGGCTCATCCCAGAGCGGATCAGGTTTTGGGGTGCCCCCCCCAAAGCTGCCAACAGCCCTGAGCACATCTCTGAGCTCTGTGGGCAGGTGCTCAGGGTTTGCAGAGCTCTGTGGGAAGCAGAGACAGTGGCCAGGAGAGAGAGCAGCTTTGCAGGGGGATGAGCTCTCCAGAGCGAGCTCTGAGTAGCAGAGGGCAGCAGCATCTGGAGATCCTGTCTTCACAGGGGTTTCCAAACTCAGCATCAGTGTGGTCAGGCCCTCAGGGTGGCATCTGAGTGGGAGAGGGAACACCAGCTGCTCCTGGAGAAGCTTTGGGAAGTGGTGGAGGGCTCCATCTCACTGGTGTGGCACTGCCAAGGAGAGGCTTGAGCCTGCTCTTCCCAGAGCCATCGTGCCCTGGGCTGGCTGATAGTCTGAGCAGCTCCTGTGGGTTTTTGGGGACACTTGTTCAAGCAGCAAATCTCTCCTGGATGCCCCAGCAGGTGGGTGATGTGCTTTGTGTAGGGCCACCAGGAAGGGGGTAGACCTGCAGCAATGCACCAGCAGCCTGTGACACTGCCAGGAGGGGTGACAGTGACACTGGAGGTGCTGCATCACACTTTGAGGCTGTGGTAGGACCATGGCCACTCCAGCAGGAGCTTTTAAGTGCTTTGAGTCTTGAAATGGTTTCTGTAGCGTGCCCCTGAGTGTTAATTATCTTAATTATGTTTGTGTTCTCCCAGGAAAGAGGCGCTTGGGAGCTGGTATGTATGGAACTGTTCTCAGGCTCTGCACGAATTACCTCAATTGAGATTCTTTTTGACTATAATTTTTTGAGATTTACCAAAAAAAATCCCAAAACCCCTTGAAATTACTATGAAATTATTCCAGCCATGGCCCATTTATGATCCAGGCAGTTCTGACACACCCCGTGTCCCAGGGACCAGTCTGCACAAAGATCCCAGTTGTGTAATTTTGTAATTACCTGCACTGGAGTGATCTCTTGTTACCTCTCCATCCTGCATTTGGAAGTGGAGCCTGAAGATCCTCACTTTCAGCAGCATTTGTTGGTTTCATAATGCAGCTTTATTTTTTTTTCCTGTGCTGGCTTAATTGACTGATCATTATTAATATGATTTAAATGTATGAAGTTGATATTGATTGGATCCCATGTGAATATGATTATGATTATTCATTGAAATTACTGCCTGGCAGATGAATGATAGCCAGTCATGAATTTAAAGTAAATGCAAATATTTTCATAAAAATTAAAGTAAAAATCTATATCATAGCCAAAATCCTCAAATTAAGACTCTCAAGGGTCCAACCTGATTTCAGTCAGATCAGAATAAGTTGAATCAGTGATTTGTTTGTGACTGGAAATCCATCAAAGAGACCAGTTCCCCTGTAATAACATTGGAATATTGTTAATATCCAAATATGCAAGGAGAAGTGGGAGGACCTCAGTGGAACACTGGGAAATTGGGAGGGTTGGGTTATAACCAACATGATTTCAAGCTATTTAGGGACAACACTGAAATTAGAAACTAGGTGTGCACTTACAGACTCAGACAGAAAACAGATTAAACAGTGCAGAGATGTAAAGGAGGAGGAGTAGCAATATAGAGATAGCCAGGAAAAAACCCAAACAAGAGAAAAGCAAAACAAATTAAAACTGAGTGTGGTGGAAGAGGCAGCCCAGGAGGTGTGCAGGGAATGGGTGCTCCAGGGAACACCAGCCTGGAGCCATCTCCACAGAGGTGGTTCTCCTGGAGGAGAAGGCATTTTCCAAGCACCTTGAAATTTTTCAATTTATCCAGGGTTGCATTTTGCCAGCACATTTAAATTTTTCACCTTCACAAGGAGCTAACGAAGAAGAACCAGGGGAAGGGAGAGTGGAGGAACTAATGAGATGCTCCAGGTATCCTGTAGACACCTCTGGCCCTTAGATAAGGAGCTTCTGTATTCTGCTAACATCACCATTTGTTAGCAGTGCAGAGAAAACTGCTGCAATGACTGATTTTCCATGCAAACCTCTGTTTCCTGTGCTCCCAGGGCTGCTTACAATTCTTGTCCATGCAGGAGGGTGTTCAACCCTCCCCTCCAAGGGTTGTGAGCATCCCCACGGTGCTGCTGGTGTCCCTGTGTCCTGGTTTAGGGTAAATTTGGGAGAAAACCTCCAAAGGGGTTCCTCTAAAAAGCAAATTCAAGCAGCCCTCCCCCAGCTGGTTCAGGAAAATATTTCCTTGGAGAAAAGTGGAAGAAAAACTGTTTATTTAGTGGGCAAAACATTCACCAGCACAAAAAATGAACACTATTAAACAATAGAACTTCTCACTGTTCTGAAGAGATGGCAAACTCAGAAAGTCCCTCTGTGGGCTGTGGCTTGGCTCACTCAGTCTCTTATCAGTCCCTCTGGTGCTGGAAATGCCGTGGCCCATGCCCAGCCTGGTGGGCCACAGGTGGAGCTGCTGGTGCTCTTCTGGGTGCTCAGTCCAGAGCAGGTTCAAACGGTTCCAAGAAAAAGAAGAAACACAGTCCAGGGAAATTTTCTGCCTCAGCTAGCTAGAAACTAACTAAAAGGAAAGGAGAGCTCTGTCCTGCCATCTGTCTGTGCTGCAGACAACACAGCTGTGGCACTCACATTCTCTGATAAAATCCCTTTGCCCAGGATTTTCTCCTGGGAAGCTGAGAAAAGGAAAACAATTCTTATCTCATTTGCTTCTCCTGTGTTGTGCTCACATGTGGAATGTGTTTGGAGATTGTTTACCCACAGGTGATTGTTCCATTGCATTCTGCTGGGAGTTGTTTTCACTCTTTGGCCAATTGGGGCCAAGCTGTGTTGGGACTCTGGAGAGAGTCACGAGTTTTCATTATTATAATTTTAGCATTTTAGTTAGTATCTTTTCTGTTTTCTTTGGTATAGTATAATATTCTTTAATACAATATAGTATTATAAAGTAATAAATTAGCCTTGTAAGAACATGGAGTCAGATTCATCATGAATGATACCTGGGACATTCCCAGCAAATACAATAACACAGTCCAGGAGCAGGATGCAGGGAGCAAGCACAGTTTGTGATAACAAACTCCACGCTCCTTTTCTCCTCCTTTTGCTGACAGAACCAATCTTAAAGGTGCAAAACTTATTTCTGGGCTAAACAGAGCATACAATTCATCACCATAAAGCCACACCAGGACATCCTAGAGGACACATAGTGGCTGCAGGGTGCTGAGCTCCTCTCTGTGTCTCTGGGCAGACGGTGTGGTGAACCTGAGCGTGCCCATCGTGCTGCCCCTGTCAGCAGAGGACAAGCAGAGGCTGCAGTAAATCTGCCTTTGCTGGGTTCAGGGTGTCCCCAGCAGGCTGCAGGGCCTGGATAGTGCAGTCCTCTCTGGGACAGACTGTCCAAGCTCCCAAGCAGCCCCCAGCCACAGGCAACCTTAGTAAGCTTGAGTGAGATCAGCTCTTTAGTGATTATCAGCTCATTGTGATTTCAGCCCTTCAGCTTGCTGGGTGCCTAGGCAGGCAGACACAGGGAGAGAGAGGAGAAGGCTGTTTGGAGTTCCACAGTGATGTCTTTATTGAGTCTTCTGAGAAGGGTTCCAGTGACAGCTCTTCTGCCAGAACTGGGCCATACCAGCCCTTTATATAGGGTTACAGGGGGATCAGAAATGGTCCAATGGCAAGGGGTAAAGGAAAGTGACCTACAGGGTTACAGAGAGATAAATAGGGGTTCCAAAAGGCAGAAAAGGGTCTTTCACCATGACTTGGCATTTCCTATCTTTAGGCTTCTGCACACCACAGGGCCCTTGCAGAACTTTGCACACTGCAGGGTGCTGAGCCCCTCTCTGTGTCTCTGGGCAGATGGTGTGGTGAACCTGAGCATGCCCATCGTGCTGCCCCTGTCAGTGCAGGGCACAGAGCAGCTGCAGGGCACTGAACCCCTTCTCTCTGTGTCTCTGGGCAGATGGTGTGGTGAACCTGAGCGTGCCCATTGTGCTGCCCCTGTCATTGCAGGGCACAGAGCAGCTGCAGGGTGCTGAACCCTCTCTCTCTGTGTCTCTGGGCAGACAATGTGGTGAACCTCAGCATGCCCATCGTGCTGCTGCTGTCAGTGCAGGACACAGAGCAGCTGCAGGGCACTGAACCCTCTCTCTCTGTGTCTCTGGGCAGATGGTGTGGTGAACCTGAGCGTGCCCATCGTGCTACCCCTGTCAGTGCAGGGCACCCACAGCTGCAGGGTGCTGAACCCCTTCTCTCTGTGTCTCTGGGCAGATGGTGTGGTGAACCTGAGCGTGCCCATCGTGCTGCCCCTGTCAGTGCAGGGCACCCACAGCTGCAGGGTGCTGAACCCTCTCTCTGTGTCTCTGGGCAGATGGTGTGGTGAACCTGAGCGTGCCCATCATGCTGCCCCTGTCAGTGCAGGGCACAGAGCAGCTGCAGGGTGCTGAACCCTCTCTCTCTGTGTCTCTGGGCAGATGGTGTGGTGAACCTGAGCGTGCCCATCGTGCTGGCCCTGTCAGCAGAGGACAAGCAGCGTCTGGAGGGCAGTGCAGCGCTGGCGCTCAGCTTCCAGGGCCGCCGGGTGGCCGTGCTGCGCCGCCCCGAGTTCTTCGCGCACAGGAAGGAGGAGCGCTGCGCCCGCGTCTGGGGCACCACCTGCCCCCGCCACCCACACATCCAGGTGGGTGCTCAGCACTGAAACCTGCCCAGGGCATGGAGAAGGGAACTCTGCCAAGGTTTTGGGTGCCAGCTGTAAGAAATTGTGCCTGGCTCCAATCCAGCTAGCTGTGGACCCAGCTCACACCATCTTACGTAGGACAAGAGGCGCTCCACGTGGGGACTGAGTCCTATTCTATATCCTAGATTGGAGAGCACCAGGTCATCCAGGTGACTCCTCAGGTGGAAAAAAGAGGGAGTGGTCTTCTCCCAGAGGGATTTTGAGCTGAGGGGAAGGGGGCAATGTGATACAAGTGAGGAGGGGCAAACCAGGAGGAGAGCACCAACACTGAGGCTTAGTGAGGGAAGGGGAAGACCGTGTGATGATAGAATACAAATCATGTGAACAATGCAAATTACCAAACACCCTGTGCAAATTACTAAATAATTATTTAGTGCAATACAACACTGGTGGGTCCTGCCCCTCCCTGCCATGAGAAGTATGGCCTGGGGGTTGAAACCTGGCCAGGGGATGGAGAAGTGAACTTTGCCAAGGCTTTGAGGGCCATGAGCTTCCAGTCCAGCTCTTTGCTGGGAACCAGCCCATCCTGAGCAGGCAGGACTGATTTTATTTGGCCACCAGCCCATCCTGAGCAGGCAGGACTGAATTTTTTGGCTTTTCCCTACAGGCAGCCAGCAGGGTTGGTGTATTTTTGCAGCTTCTCTCTTCCCCCTTAGTCTGTGGCAGTACAAGGAGTATTGTCCCTGGGAAAGGGAGAGCTTTGGGTACCACACAGTGACTTGAGCTTTCTGCTTAAAAAGGCTACAGCTGTGGTAGTCCTTTCCCCTCCCTTAAAATGCCTGGTTTAATTAATCAGCAGCAGGTGTGTGCCTTGCAACAGGCTCATTCCTCCTGTGTATTCCCATGAGGAAAGCAGAGGGGGAGCTGGAGGAAGGTCTTGTGCCTTCCTATAGACTGCTGGCTGCCAGAGGGGAGGCCAGCACCCAGCTGGGTGGGGACTGGGTGGCTGCTGCCCCACTTGGTGAGGTTTTGCTGCCCATGACATTCATTCACATGGTCACTGCAATGATGTTTTCCACCTGAGAGAAGGGAAAGTCATCCTACAACAGGGTTGAGCCTCAAACTTTTCAAAGGAGACTGGGAGAAGGAGGAGAGTGCTGTCCCCTTTGCACTGAAGGTGTGTGTAATTCCCAGATGGTGATGGAGAGTGGAGACTGGCTGGTTGGTGGAGACCTGCAGGTCCTGGAGAAGATCAAATGGAATGATGGGCTGGACCAGTACCGCCTGACCCCGCTGGCTCTCAAGCAGAAGTTCAGGGAAATGAATGCTGGTGAGTGCCCTGGGTTACACCAGTGACAGGGCTCTTCCTGCCCCACAGGGCCTTGGTGTGATCCATGACTTGGTCTCAGCACTTCCAGGTGGCTTCTGGATGCTCCCAAAACGGGGTTGTTTGGGAGGGTGGGCAGTAAAGGGGACTCAGGGCATGGCACAGGTGGCACAGGGCTCCTTGGTTAGGGCAGTGATGGGCTGTGTCCCCAGGGGCTGCTCTAAGGGCTGGGACCCTGCTCACATCCCCCCTGGCAGGTCAGATCCTCTCTGCACTGCCATGCCTTCACACCTGGGGAACAGCTCAGGTGTCTCCTGCCAGCTCTCTGTCCCATGGAATCCCAGAATGGTTTGGGTTGGAGGGACCTTAAAGCTCATCCCATTGCATGCCCTGCCATGGGCAGGGACACCTTCCATGCTCCCAGGTTGCTCCTGCTGGTGGTCCCAGCAGGATGGCAAGGGTCAGACACCCACCCTCACTTTGGGGAAAGAGCATGGGCCATCCTGCAGGTGCCACTGAGCTTGGGGAGGTGACAGATCACTAAAGACATCAGTGCAGGTGTCCAGTGCTGTGCACAACCATTATAGGAGAGCTGATAGGGCTGAAATCAGCCCCAAAGGAAATGAATGCAGGGAAAATAACCTTGGCAGGGCAATGTGTGTGTGTGTGTGTGTGTGTGTGTGTGAAACACTCAGGGCCTTGTTTGTTTGGAGACAGGGTGCACACAGCTCTGTCATGGCACACAGGGCACACACAGCTCTGTCATGGCTGAGATCAGACACACACAGCTCTGTCATGGCACACAGGGCACACACAGCTCTGTCATGGCTGAGATCAGACACACACAGCTCTGTCATGGCACACAGGGCACACACAGCTCTGTCATGGCACACAGGGCACACACAGGTCTGTCATGGCAAACAGGGCACACACACAGCTCTGTCATGGCACACAGGGCACACACACACACAGGTCTGTCATGGCACACAGGGCACACACAGGTCTGTCATGGCACACAGGGCACACACAGCTCTGTCATGGCAAACAGGGCACACACAGCTCTGTCATGGCTGAGATCAGACACACACAGCTCTGTCATGGCACACAGGGCACACACAGCTCTGTCATGGCACACAGGGCACACACAGGTCTGTCATGGCAAACAGGGCACACACACAGCTCTGTCATGGCACACAGGGCACACACACACACAGGTCTGTCATGGCTCACAGGGCACACACACAGCTCTGTCATGGCACACAGGGCACACACAGCTCTGTCATGGCAAACAAGGCACACACAGCTCTGTCATGGCTGAGATCAGACACACACAGGTCTGTCATGGCAGACAGGGTACACACAGCTCTGTCACGGCACACAGGGCACACACAGGTCTGTCATGGCAGACACGGCACACACACAGCTCTGTCATGGTACACAGGGCACACACAGCTCTGTCATGGCACACAGGGCACACACACAGCTCTGTCATGGCACATACAGCTCTGTCATGGCACACAGGGCACACACACAGCTCTGTCATGGCACACACAGGTCTGTCATGGCACACAGGGCACACACACAGCTCTGTCATGGCACACACAGCTCTGTCATGGCACACAGAGCACACACACAGCTCTGTCATGGCACACACAGGTCTGTCATGGCACACAGAGCACACACACAGCTCTGTCATGGCACACAGAGCACATACACAGCTCTGTCATGGCACACACAGCTCTGTCATGGCACACAGGGCACACACAGCTCTGTCATGGCACACAGGGCACACACACAGGTCTGTCATGGCTCACAGGGCACACACACAGTTCTGTCATGGCACACAGGGCACACACAGCTCTGTCATGGCACACACAGGTCTGTCATGGCACACAGGGCACACACAGGTCTGTCATGGCAGACACGGCACACACACAGCTCTGTCATGGTACACAGGGCACACACAGCTCTGTCATGGCACACACAGCTCTGTCATGGCACACAGGGCACACACAGCTCCCTCCTGGCTCTGTCGAAGCTCAGAGTGTGGCAGTGACCCCAGTGACGCCCCCACCTTTCCCTTGCAGACGCCGTTTTCGCCTTCCAGCTGCGCAATCCCGTTCACAACGGGCACGCGCTGCTGATGCAGGACACACGGCGCCAGCTCCTCGAGAGGGGCTACAAGAACCCCGTGCTGCTGCTGCACCCTCTGGGGGGCTGGACCAAGGATGATGATGTCCCCCTGGAGTGGCGCATGAAGCAGCACGCTGCTGTGCTGGAGGAGCAGGTCCTGGACCCCAAGTCCACCATCGTGGCCATCTTCCCCTCTCCCATGCTCTACGCCGGCCCCACGGAGGTAAGGCAGCCCTTGGCTGCTCAGCAGGGCAAGGCAGGCAGCCTGTCCATGGGGTTGTGCTCACAGCCTGCCTGGAAAACCCCAGGGAGGGGCTGGAGCTGTGTCCTCACTCTTGGCTCCCTGCATGGTTTGCCTGTGTTTGCTGCTGCAGCGTCTTTGCACAGAACTCTGCTCCTATCCATCCCCTCCTGGGCTGTGGAGGGCTGGGGAGAGGGGATACAATCAGGCTTCACCTTATTCTGGCAGGCAGGGACGTTCATTTGAAACCCCTTCTGTCCCTAAATCAGTGGGATGAAAGGGGCAGATGCTGAACCTCCCCTTCCATGTGCTGGGCATCACCACCTTGGCACACCAAAAATTCAAGCAGACCCAGCCTATAGGAATGTGCCCCTTGTTGATGGAGTGACAGAACTGTCCTTTGTCCCCTTAAAAAGGAAAGAAGCCCAGAAGTTTCTCTCCTCAATTAGGTGAAAAAACAGCTCATAGGATCTGGGGGGGCTTCACCTCAAACTTAAGGGTAGCCAATTGGGCAGGAGGCAAAAAGTCCCACCTGAGCAACTCACTAGAAAAAGAAGAGAACAAAGAAACAAATGGCTTTTGTGAGGTGTTTCACCAGGAGCAAGAACCTCTGGCACCTGGCTCGGTTTTTCTCTTTACAGAGCTTTGTTATTTTGCCTTTTATTAAAACATTTTTGTTCCCAACACTGCCACAGAAGCCATCCTGCTGATTTTATGCCTTCTGAGGTAGCTGAGCTATCTTGGGTGTGAAACAGATCTCCAAGAGCTTATGAGACCTGGCTTGAGGAGACCCCTATTTCACCAGCCCAGTTCCCTCTCCCTGCTTGTGTGTGAAAAATGCCAATCACTCGTTTTTAAAATTTTAAAAGTTTAATAATAATTAAATGGTTATAAAAATAGCAATATAATTAGAGTAATAAAAATTTGAGTTTAGGACAATATGAGACAATAAGAACAAAGAGTACAGACGGTCCGGGTACCTTTTTCTGGGCAAAATAAGCCCAAAAAAGGACCCACGTTTACAGAGGATTAACCCTTAAAAGCAACAGCCTGTTGCATATTCATACACCTCATCCATGATGCATAAATTCCATTCAAACCCAGGATTCTGTCTGGGCAGTGTCAGCTTCTTCCTCTGAATCCTGACTGAGTCTTCATGGCTGAGTGAGGCAGGATGAAATTCATTTCTTCTGATAATGGAACAATAAATTCTTTTTCTCTGAAAGATTTATGTGTCCTGTGGCTGCTATCTCAGTGGGAGTACCTCATTCCTTTCTTTAAAAAAATATCCCACATATATGGCTTCAATTTTAACATTATGTTATAACCTAAAACTATATTTACCACACTACTTAAGAGAATTAATACAGCATAAGTTTCTAACACAACACATATGTGAAAAAATGTGTATTTTATGATTGGCTTTTTGCAAATGTTCAAATGAATATTGTGTGTGTTGTGTTAGAAAGTAATGCTGTGTTAATTCTCTATTCTCTATTTTCTATTAAAATATAGTTTTATGTTATAACAAAATGTTAAAATAGAAACTATGCTATGTGGGATGCTTTTTTCCAAAGAAAGGACTTGCACCAGATAGCAGCCACAGGACACCTGAATCTTTCAGTGAAAGAGAATTTATTGCTCCATTATCAGGAGAAATGAACTTCTTCCCTCCTCGCTCAGGATTGGAGATTAGGATTAGGAGGAATAAGCTGACACTGCCCAGCCAGAATCCTGGGTTTGAATGGAATTTATGCATCATGGATGAGGTGTATGAATATGCAACAGGCTGTTGCTTTTAAGGGTTAATCCTCTGTAAACGTGGGTCCTTTTTTGGGCTTATTTTGCCCAGAAAAAGGTACCCGGACTGTCCATATGTTTCTATTTTATGTCCTCTTTGTTTCTACTGTCTCATGTTGTCCTAATCCAAATTATCCAAATTATTATTACTCTAATTGTATTACTATTTTTACAACCATTTTATTACCATTAAACTTTTAAAACTTTAAAAACAAGCGATCGGCGTTTGCCACAACATATTCGTTTGAATATTTGCAAAAAAGCCAATCATAAAATATGCATTTTTCACAAAAAAAAAAAAAAAGCCCCAGGGCCTCCCTCAGTCCCTGTGTCCCCTCCCTGCAGGTGCAGTGGCACTGCCGGGCCCGGATGGTGGCGGGGGCCAACTTCTACATCGTGGGGCGTGACCCGGCGGGAATGCCGCACCCCGACACGCGGCAGGACCTGTACGAGCCCACGCACGGCGGGAAGGTGCTGAGCATGGCCCCCGGGCTCACCTCCGTGGAGATCCTCCCCTTCCGAGTGGCTGCCTACAACAAGCTCAAGAGAGCCATGGATTTCTACGACCCCAAAAGGTAAAGGCGGCCGCGGTTTCTCGGCCGCGCGGGGTTTGCGCGCGCCGCGGGCTCGCGGAGTTTTGGGGACAGGGAAAAGGCCCCAAGGAGAGGAATGGGGGCAGAACCTGGGAAAGGCACCGGTGTGTTCCACCAAGAGGTGTCACATGAAACTAAAGTGCCACCAGGGAGGGAAAGGAACACAGCCTCCCACAGCTGGGAAGTGTTTGGACACTGCAGCTCCTCTGGGATGAGGAGCCCTGGGGGTGACTCGGGCCTGTGCTGTTTGTGAGGGTCCCCAGGATGAGGGAAGAGATGAGAATCTGGCTCCAAGTTCTCAGAAGGCGGATTATATTATATTATATTATATTATATTATATTATATTATATTATATTATATTATAGTATAGTATAGTATAGTATATTATAGTATATTATAGTATATTATAGTATAGTATATTATAGTATATTTATTATATTATAGTATAGTATATTATGGTATAGTATATTATGGTATATTATAGTATATTTATTATATTATATTTATTATATTATTTGGAATGTAGTCTGGACATTGTTTACCAACAGGTGAACGTTTGATTGGTTCCATGTGAATTGGTTTTAATTAATATAATATGTATATAATATATATATAATCTGTCATATTATAGATTATTTAATATATATTATATATAATATTATATATTGTGTTATATAATATTAATTAATTAATATATAACATTACATTCTATTACATTATATTATAGTCATATCAATGCTGTACTAAAACTATGCTCTAGAAAAAGAAAAGATACATCAGGAGGCTTAACAAGAATGATAATGAAAGCTCAGGACTGACTCCTCAGAGTCCGACACAGCTGGCTGTGAGTGGCCATTAATTAAAAATAATTCACATGGGACCAATCAAACGTGCACCTGTTGGTAAACAATGTCCAGGCCACATTCCAAAGCAATCAGATAATTACTGTTTTCATTCTTGTCTGAGGTTTCTCAGCTTCCCAGGATAAAAATCCTGAGCAAAGAGGGTTTTTCAGAAAATATCCTGGTGACATGGGCCAGCTGAGCTGATGTCACCTGTCTCTGTTTCACACAGGCACGATGACTTTGACTTCATCTCAGGAACACGCATGAGGAAGCTCGCTCGGGAAGGGGAGAACCCCCCAGATGGCTTCATGGCCCCCAAAGCCTGGAAAGTCCTCACCACCTACTACCAGTCACTGGAAAAAAAGAATTAACTCCTCCTCCTCCTCCTCCTCCTCCTCCTCCTCCCTAGAAATACCTGTATTAATAGCGAGCAATGATCGATTGATTCCCTGTGACACAGATCACTTGGCATGACCCTGGCCTTTTCCTACCTGGGTCAGTGTTTTTTACCAATCAGAAATTCTTTCAGCCTGATCCTTCTCCCCCTGAAGCTGCTGGTGGTGTCCCCATGGAGTGGAAGGGATGGGGAGAGGGCACCAGGATGTGCCATGGTGCTGCCAGGGCCACTCAGCAGCTGCCAGTGCAGAGGGGACCAGGATAAATCCTGCCCATGCCCTGCCTGGAGCAGAAATGAAGAAGTGCCCTTCCACCTTGTGCCTTAGACAGTTTTTGCTAATTAACAGCAGAATCTTTTTAATGCCTCTTTTTATACAAAGGACTTTTTAAGATCAGCTGTGACCACCTCCAATTCCTTGTGGCTGAGCCAACTCCTCACTGCTTCCTTCCTTCCTTCCTTCCTTCTTCCTGCTTGACCTCTTTGGTCAAACAAATCCTGGGCTGAGCATTCCTGTTGCTTCAAGTTCAGGAGCCTGTGAGGATGTGCCTTGGTGATCCCTGCACTCTCAGCTGGGGAGCCTCTCCTGGGAGGCACCATGAACCCTGAGATCCTGAGAAAGCTCTGCACAGCAAGGAGAAGTCAGGGATGCTGGCACTGTGCTTCCAGGTGTCCTCCCAGGTGGCAGGATGGGATCTCCCTTCCCTCTGCCCACACTCCTCCCACCCCAAAGGCAAATCCGAGACAAAACAGCAAAGTCACAGCACAGGTGGGTCTGGAGAACCGGCTGAGAGAGGCTGCAGCTCCTGCCCTCATGACACCTGTGTGGGTGCAGGGGACCTGATTTATTCCGTGGGGACAGCCCGAGGATGGCAGGGGACAGCCCGAGGATGGCAGGAGACCCTTGGCCCCCAGCCCTGTGTGCTGCTGCTGCTGCTGCTGAGCCGAGAGCCCGGCGCTGCCCCAGCCCCGGCTGTGGAAAGTCACGGCGGACATTGACGCCTTCCCCAGCCTGACCCCGGCACGGACTCTGGCAAGGCCCCGCCTGAGGCTTTTCTGCTGGCTCACAGGAGCCTCCGAGGTGACAGAGCAGTGACACAACAGCGACAGCACAGCCTGGGGCGCTGCCGGGGCTGGTCCCGCCCGCAGCCCCGCTGGGCGGTGGCAGCGGAGCAGAACAAGCAGCACTCGCTCATTGCTGCCTCACTCCGGGGTTTTTGCACCTGGCAGGAGCAAAACATCCCCAGGAGCCGTCGGGATGTTCCCAAGGAACAGCAACCAGCGTTCCTCTCTTATTGTGCGTCTGTTTGAGTTCCAGCTGGATCCACACTCAGCAAAACCAACCTGCTCCTGCTTGGTACTGTGAGCTACAACCTGCTCTGCTGTGGCCAGGGCACACTGCCCAAACCTTCATCAATCACTGGAAAATATCCTTGAAAAAGGGCTTTTTGGGTGGCTTTTTAAGTCTTTTTTTTAAAGCATTTGGAGGAAATCTGTGTTTTACCCCAAGGCAAATGCTGCAGCCTCTGTGGGAGCTGACAGAGCACCAGCACCAGCCTCACCCAGCCAGGCCCCAAAAGTGACATTCCCATTTAGGATTTTTAAGGAGTGAAACAGCACTGTTGGTGCTCATCATGAAATAATCCTGTCCCCTCCAGTAAATCCAGGTGGTCACAGCAAAACACAGATGTTGTTATCATTTTAAACCAGAGTAGTGTCCTGATTACCTCTGATTAAAGCACGTGGACTGGGGGGTTTATAGTCTATTTATTAAAGACATGAGACTGGAATTTGTACCTCAGCTGATGCATCTCATGATTTAATATATTCTGAACTCGATACTCTATGAAACACTCACTTTTAGTACAAATAAATATTTATATGTGTAAGTAGCTGTCACTTGGTGATTTTTGGGTGGAGCTTTGCTGGAAGCTGGCTCAGCCTGGGCACTGCTGTGCAATCCCTGGAGATGTGAGAGAGGAATTGGGCTCTTCCCCCCTTCAGAGAGGCAGGACCAGGTGCTGAGGGTTGGACCAAGCCTCTGGAGCCACGGGATGAAAGCAGCAACGTTCAAAACCCTCAGCCTTTGGAGGAAGCTGCCAGAGGGTTTGTGCTTCAACAAGGACTCCAACAGCAGCAGCAAGAGTGGACAAGTGTGGGAAGAGATCCTGGAGAAGTGGGAATTGCAGTCCAGCTGCAGAAATTTCCCCACAGGAGCAATCAGGAATAACTCCTTGTGCCTCTTCAGCCAGGCCCCGATGAGCTTCGGGCAGCAGGGAAGGGCAGCTCCAGCCAGCAGTGCCCAGAGCTGGGATTTTGGAGACACCAGCAAGAGCTCAGGGCTCAGGCAGTGACCAGGGGCTGTCCCCGGGTTTGTCCTGCTGCCCTGCCCTCCCTCGGGGTGACATTAACCCCCCTGAGGACACACTTCACACTCAATTAAAGCCAATTAACACCTGCCTGCGCTGCGGTTTTAACAAGGAGGAACCAGCCTGAAAATAAAGTACCAACAGCCCTCCAGCACTCGGTGCACTCTGATGTGCAGCTGAAGAGCCAGCAACGTGTACTACTGCCCTTTAATCCAGATATTTCCTGGAGAAAATGAAACTCTGGGTGATGTGGGGCAGCATCGCTGTCATCAGGCACTGGAGGAAATGAGAAGGACCCAGCACGAGAGGCAGGAGGTGCAGGGGAAGCTCCCAGGCTGGAATTCCTCACCTCCCACTGTCCCAGGCTGCTCCAGCCTGGCCTTGGGCACTGCCAGGGATGCAGGGGCAGCCCCAGCTGCTCTGGGCACCCTGTGCCAGGGCCTGCCCACCCTGCCAGGGAACAATTCCTCATTCCCAAGATCCCATCCAGCCCTGCCCTCTGGCACTGGGAGCCATTCCCTGTGTCCTGTCCCTCCATCCCTTGTCCAAAATCTCTCTCCATCTTTCCCATCAGCTCCTTCAGGCCCCAGTTTGGTGACCCCAGAGCTTCTCCTCTCCAGGTGAGCAGCCCCAGCTGTGCCAGCCTTTCCTCCCAGCAGAGCTGCTCCATCCCTCTGCCCATCCTGGTGCCTCCCCTGAGCTCTCTCCTGGATCCCAGGCTCACCCAGCACTGAAGTGATTTATGGGATTCACATCCCAGATCCCATTTCCATATCCCAGCAGTTCTGCTGTGCCTAAATTCCTGCACCCCTGTGTTAGACCATTGTGCATCTCCCATTGCTTTGGATACAGGGAAGAAGTCTAAGCAATTATTCAATTATTTTTATCCTCCCCCTCCCATTTGGTTTTAGGAGTAAATTGGGACAAACTCAGCCCTGCATTCCAGGGGGCAGGACAGCAGGGAGCAGGCTGAGCTTGAGGGACACTGTCACCAGCCCCTGACACCGTGTCATGGCAGGGCTCCAGCCCTCCTTATTTCACTTTATTTTCCTTTGCAGTGCATTTGGTTTTACATCATTCTGTGCCTCCAATGCTTCCCTCCCCTCACAGGCAGCAGAGCTGTGACACAGCATCCCACCCCTGGGCTTTGAACATTTAATTCCCTTTACAGATTTGGGCTCAGTTAGTGCACAGTTCATAGCATTATATGAAAAAAACCTCAAGTTCTTGACTATGTCTGACAATAACTTCACTAAAAAAAAACCAAACCATTTTTGCCACTCACATTTGTAACCCTTGGCCTTTATCTCAACAGAACGTTACAAGAATTCACCAGAACTGGTACCAGCAAGGACAGCACGTTGCTAAACCACATCAATAAGCCCAAAACCCATTTCCTCTCTTTAAATCCAGAGATCTGAGCATGGGACAGAGTCAAACATCACACAGTGTCCCTGCTGTGCCTCAGGGCTGTGACACTTCAGGGGACGGTGCCACGGTGGGGCTTGCAGAGACCGAGGGAGAAGCAAGTCCTGGGGACAGTGCACAGGAGCTCAGAGAGCTCAGAGGACATGGGGCTTCAGGAAAGAGCAAGTGGGATTCTACTCTAACTGCTCACAGCAAGGGAAAACCAAAAATAAAATCAGCCTTCATTTAAAAAGCCTTCAAAAGCAGAATTCATAAAAAAATTAAAATTATTCAAACATTCTTACAGAGTAGTTTACTATCTTGACTAAATGGCACCAGATTTCAAGTGGTCATGTGGAAGAAAAATCAGTAGCATTTCAAATGTTGCTTTGTTCTAGGAGCAGTTTCTATCCTGGCATTTGCTGCTAAAAGGTAGAAGTGAACTGAGTATCGAGGAATCTTTCCCCTGTACAGCTTCTGATTTGGTTTGCTTCAGGAAGGAAGTAGAAAAGATTTTCCATACTCAAGTTATCTACAGATTATGTCTATATATAAAAAAAAGTGTGGCTATGTACAGGTCCTGCACTCACACACCCATCTGCACACACCCAGCCCGTGCCAGCTCCTGCCCCTGGCCCTGGGAGCACCCACTCCTGCTGGGAGGCTCAGGGGCTCCCTGGGGACAGCACGCGGGCACTCGCTCTTGGTCTGGGCTGAATTGTTCCACTCATGATCTGTGCTTCCACTCCCAGTTGGAATTGCAATAACTTAAGAGGTTGTTGTTGTATAAAAACGATTCCAGGAACAGAACTCCCTTTGCCACCCCTGCTCCCACCCCCTGACACTGGTTTTGCTAACTGATTACAGAAGTCAAACTAAATCACATCAGGAACTGCAAACACACTCTTTTGTCTTAATCAAACACGATCTCCATGGCCAGGTTCTGCATGGAGACATCCTTGGATTTCCTCATCTTCTCGATGGCCCTGTGGAGATCCTGCTGCTGCACCGGCCGGATCTCATCTTCATCGTGCCTGGGGAGGAGAGAGACAACAGCCAGGTGAGGGGCCAGGGGCTGGGACAGCTGTGCCCACCCCAGCAGCCATCCCTGCAAGCAGCAGCTCTGCATGGATCCACTGGAATCACAGAACCCCTGAGGCTGGAAAATCCCTGCCAGCCCATGGAGTGCCAGCTGTGCCCAGTGCCCACCTTGTCCCCAGCCCAGAGCACTGAGTGCCACCTCCAGCCCTTGCTGGGACACCTGCAGGGCTGGGCACTGCAAAGCTCCCTGGGCAGCCCCTGCCAAGGCCTGAGCACCCTTTGCATGCAGAAATTGCTGCTGCTGTCCAAGCTGAGCCTCCCCTGGCCCAGCTTGAGGCCCTTTGCCCTTGTCCTGTCCCTGTTCCCTGGCAGCACAGCCCGGCCCCCCCTGGCTGTCCCCTCCTGGCAGGGAGTTGTGCAGAGCCACAAGGGCCCCCTGAGCCTCCTTTGCTCCAGGCTCAGCCCCTGCCCAGCTCCCTCAGCCCCTCCTGGGGCTCCAGCCCCTTCCCCTTCCCCAGACACGCTCCAGCCCCTCCATGCACCCAGGGTTGCTGCAGGCATGGCAAACAGCAGAGGGATGTCCCAGCACCGTGGCAGCAGCAGGAGCTGGTGGCTCAGGAGCTGGTGGCCTGAAGCCTGGCACTAAGCAGTGCAGCAGCAGGAGCTGGTGGCTCAGGCCACCTCCAGCTTGGGCACCTTGGAACAACCAAGGCACTGAGCTTATTTTCGGAGCCAAAAGCAA